GCCGCCACAGCCCCCCGTGCAAGCCCCACCCCTGCACCCTTACAAATGCACCATGTGTAATTACTCCACCACGACTCTGAAAGGGCTAAGAGTCCATCAGCAGCACAAACACTCGTTCTGCGACAACTTGCCAAAATTCGAGGGGCCGCCCTCCAGCCTCCCATTGGAAAGTGAGACAGACAGCCACCCCTCTTCCAGCAACACTGTGAAGAAAAGCCAGACCTCAATTCTTGGGTTGTCCTCCAAGAACAATTTTGTAGCTAAGGCCTCTCGGAAGCTCGCTAGTGACTTTCCTCTCGACTTATCGCCCGTGAAGAAGAGGACGAGGATCGACGAGATCGCGAGCAACCTGCAGAGCAAAATCAACCAGAGCAAACAGCAGGAGGATGCCGTGATCAACGTCGAGGATGATGAGGAGGAAGAGGAAGACAATGAAGTGGAGATCGAGGTGGAGTTGGACCGGGAAGAAGAGCCAACGGAGCCAGTCCTGGAGGTGCCCCCTCCCTTTGCGACGCAGCAGCTGTGGGTGCCAGATGCCAGCGTGCCCCAGAAGGAGCCCAACTTCAGAAACATCAGCCACGATTACAATGCCACCAACGGGGCGGAGATCGAGCTCACGCTTTCGGAAGACGAAGAGGATTATTACGGCTCCTCGACAAACTTGAAAGATCACCAAATTCCCGGTACCGCTCTGCTGAACGCCCAGGTTCCCCTGTATGGGACCGAGCACAATAACGAAAGTACAGACTTTAGTGACTCTGGGAGGCTTTACTATTGCAAACACTGTGACTTTAACAACAAATCTGCCCGGAGTGTCAGCACCCACTATCAGCGAATGCACCCGTACATTAAATTCAGCTTCAGGTACATCTTGGACCCCAACGACCACAGTGCGGTGTACAGGTGCCTGGAGTGCTACATCGATTACACCAACTTCGAAGATCTCCAGCAGCACTACGGTGAGCACCACCCCGAAGCCATGAATGTCCTCAACTTTGACCATTCGGACCTGATCTACCGGTGTCGGTTCTGTTCCTACACGAGCCCCAATGTGAGGAGCCTGATGCCACACTACCAAAGAATGCACCCCACGGTGAAGATCAACAACGCCATGATCTTTTCCAGCTATGTCGTGGAGCAGCAGGAGGGGCTGAGCACCGAGTCCCAGACGCTGCGGGAGATCCTGAATTCGGCGCCCAAGAACCTGGCGACATCCACGCCCGTGGCTCGCGGTGGCGGCATGGCGTTCAATAAAAACACCCCTCCCAAGACCTTTCCTCCAGAATGTGAAAACCAGAAGGACCCCTCCGTGAACACCGTGGTCGTGTACGACTGTGACGTTTGCTCGTTCGCAAGCCCCAACATGCACTCTGTCTTGGTTCATTATCAGAAGAAACACCCCGAAGAAAAGGCTTCCTACTTTAGGATCCAGAAAACCATGCGAATGGTGTCTGTGGACAGGGGCGCGGCCCTTTCTCAATTATCATTTGAGGTGGGTGCTCCCATGTCTCCCAAAATGTCCACCATGGGTTCCCCACCCCCCCCACAACCCCCGCCACCAGACCTCAGTACTGAGCTTTACTACTGCAAACACTGCTCCTACAGCAATCGGTCAGTTGTGGGAGTGCTTGTCCACTACCAGAAAAGACACCCAGAAATAAAGGTCACTGCCAAATATATCAGACAGGCTCCTCCCACAGCAGCCATGATGAGAGGGGCCGAGGGGCCCCAAGGCTCCCCCCGGCCGCCCGCCCCTATGCAGCCGCTGAGCCGGAGCAGCTCCGAGAGAGATGGCCCCCCTGTGGAGAACGAGATGTTTTTTTGCCAGCACTGTGATTACGGGAACCGGACGGTCAAAGGGGTACTCATTCATTACCAGAAGAAGCACCGAGACTTCAAGGCCAATGCAGACGTGATCCGGCAGCACACGGCCACCATCCGAAGCCTCTGTGACCGGAACCAGAGGAAGTCCGCCAGTTGCATGCTGGTTGCCCCCTCCGGCGTGGAGCGGGACAAAACGAAACTGCGAGCCCTCAAGTGTAGGCAGTGCTCGTACACCTCCCCCTACTTCTATGCGCTGAGGAAGCATACCAAGAAAGACCACCCCGCCCTGAAGGCCACGGTCACGTCCATCATGCGCTGGGCGTTCCTCGATGGCTCCATAGAAGCTGGCTACCACTGCGAGTGGTGCATCTATTCCCACACGGAGCCCAACGGCCTGCTCCTGCATTACCAAAGGAGGCACCCCGAGCATTACGTGGACTACACCTACATGGCTACCAAACTCTGGGCCGGGCCAGACCCATCCCCTCCCTCCCTCATGATGCCAGCCGAAGCCAAAACCTACCGATGCCGCGACTGTGTCTTCGAAGCCATCTCCATCTGGGACATCACCAATCACTACCAAGCGTTCCACCCCTGGGCCATGAATGGTGACGAGTCGGTGCTGCTGGACATCATCAAGGAGAAAGATGCCGTGGAGAACCCCATCCCTTCGTCCGAAGAGTTAGTGGGCCCCGTGAATTGTGAAAGCGGTCTGCCCGCTCCCCTCCCCGAGCAGGACGTGGAATGCCCCGAGGATGCCCGGCTTTCCCCAGAGAAGAGCCTCCAGCTCTCCTCGGCCAACCCCGCCATCAACTCCACCCCGTACCAGTGCACCGTGTGCCAGTCCGAGTATAACAACCTGCACGGCCTTCTGACCCATTACGGGAAGAAGCACCCCGGCATGAAGGTGAAGGCCGCTGACTTCGCCCAGGACATCGACATCAACCCAGGCGCCGTCTACAAGTGCCGGCACTGCCCCTACATCAACACCCGCATCCACGGCGTCCTGACCCACTACCAGAAGCGACACCCGGCCATCAAGGTGACCGCCGAGGACTTTGTGCACGACGTGGAGCAGTCCGCCGACATCGCCCAGAACGACGTGGAGGAGACGAGCCGGATCTTCAAGCAAGGGTTCGGCGCCTACCGCTGCAAACTGTGCCCCTACACGCATGGCACTCTGGAGAAGCTCAAAATCCACTATGAGAAGTACCACAACCAGCCTGAATTCGATGTCTTCTCCCCGTCGCCCCCGAAGCTGCCGGTGTCCCTCGAGCCCGAGATAACCACTGAAGTGAGCCCCTCCCAAGTCTCCATCACCGAGGAGGAGGTGGGGGAGGAGCCCGTGCCCGCTGCTCACTTCTCTACCTCGCACCTGGCCTCGCACACGGTGTTCCGGTGCCAGCTCTGCAAGTACTTCTGCTCCACGAGGAAGGGCATCGCCAGGCACTACCGCATCAAGCACAACAACGTCCGCGCCCAGCCCGAGGGCAAGAACAACCTCTTCAAGTGCGCCCTGTGCTCCTACACCAACCCCATCCGCAAAGGGCTGGCGGCCCACTACCAGAAGCGCCACGACATCGATGCCTATTACACCCACTGCCTGGCAGCCTCCAGGACCATCAGCGACAAGCCCAACAAGGTCATCATCCCGTCCCCGCCCAAGGACGACTCGCCGCAGCTCAGCGAGGAACTGCGGCGGGCGGTGGAGAAGAAGAAGTGCTCCCTGTGCTCCTTCCAGTCCTTCAGCAAGAAGGGCATCGTGTCCCACTACATGAAGCGCCACCCGGGGGTGTTCCCCAAGAAGCAGCACGCCAGCAAGCTGGGGGGCTACTTCACGGCCGTCTACGCCGACGAGCCCGAGAAGCCGGTGCTGCTGGAGGAGGAGGAGAGAGGCAGCTTGGAGAAAGCCGAGGTGGAGGGAGGCGAGGCGCAGGAGATGGAGTGGCTCCCGTTCCGCTGCATCAAGTGCTTCAAGCTCTCCTTCAGCACGGCCGAGCTGCTGTGCATGCATTACACCGACCACCACAGCCGGGACCTCAAGAGGGACTTCGTCATCCTGGGCAGCGGCCCCCGCCCGCAGGGCCCCGCCTACCAGTGTAAGCACTGCGATAGCAAACTGCAGAGCACCGCCGAGCTGACCTCACACTTGAACGTTCACAATGAGGAATTCCAGAAGCGTGCCAAACGTCAGGAGAGGAGGAAACAGCTTTTGAGCAAGCAGAAATATGCAGATGGTGCTTTTGCAGATTTCAAACAAGAGAGGGTAAGGATATGTTTTGATTTCCCTTCCCCCAGGAGGCCTCTCAGCACTGGTGCCCACACGCACGTCTTCATTGCCAGCCAAGCTGCCACGGGCTTCCTAGTGACTTAGCTTGCCAGAGAGCTCAATAAGTCAATTAAACATTTCGAGCTTGATTATCCCCATTCTGTGCTCACTCTTCTCCACGGTCCTGTGCCCCTCCCTCTCACTCCTCCGGAGGCTCCCCAGGGGAGGGTTGGGGTGGTTTCTCTGTGTCTCTCTCTGCCAAGCAGCCTTGTCGGAGGCCTAGGTCCACGGCGACGCTCGCTCTCTTTCCTGAGGCCGCCGTGGGCTGTCTCTTGGTCTCATGAGCGCTTCTTAGCCGTGTCTCGGTCTGCAGTGTGGCTACACGAACCTAACATCTCCCGGAGTAGAATGGTGTGTGTGTGTCAAGAAGCTCACTAACGGCGTAGCTATGCAACGTTCTCACCTGCGTAGTTGACATGGGTTTGCAGACCAGATCCCTTGGTGGCCGTGACGATGAGGCTTCTGCACAGAAATCTTCTCACAAGTCCTAATGCACGCGGGTTCCAGAGACTTTGCATAGTAGGCAGTGTGCCACGACTCTGACAAATTCCTTATGTAAAAAAAAAAAAAAAAAAAAAAAATACTCCTTCTCTCCCTTGGTTTTTAACCTGCTAATCTGCTTTAAAATAAAACCGGCTAGTAAGCTACAAGAATAAATGCCGGCCGTTGCGGGAGGGGCTCGGAGTACTGACGGCTACCACTGTATTTTACCAGCCTTTTGGTCACTTAGAAGAGGTGCCAAAGATCAAGGAGCGGAAGGTGGTGGGCTACAAGTGTAAATTCTGTGTGGAAGTGCACCCGACGCTCCGAGCCATCTGCAATCACCTGCGGAAGCACGTCCAGTACGGCAGCGTCCCCGCCGTGTCCGCCGTGAAGGTGAGCGCTGGGAAGGCCTGGATGCGCGTTCCTGTGTGTGAGCCGTGCGCGTTACTCATTAACCCCGTTGCTCAAGGCAGCTCCGGAGCGGGCGGCCCGGAGTGTGCGCATTCCTGAGTGTTGCCGGCGTCGGTCTGGCTTGTTTTGATTTCTTTGCAGGTTGGACGTCCCTCCTCTTGCGTGTCTCGACGCGGTCGAGCTCCGATCTGGTTCCCTGCCACGTGGGTAGTTTGGTGGAAACAGAAGATCCGGGCCTCTCGGCACAGGAGGCTTCGGGTTGCCCTTCTCTTCTGCGTGTAGCACCACTAGGTGTTTGCTCTTCCGAGCTCTTGAGAGGAGTTGAGTGTGTTCTGTCCTGTCCTCTTCAGCTCCTCCCACTGCCTGACTTCTCACTGTCCTTTCTCATCGGGCTGGCGGGCGCAGAGAGCCCGGGAGAGTCCGTCTTTTGCTGCTTATCCTGGGTCCTCGAAGGAGTGGCAGAGACATCACACCTAAAACTAAAAGCCTTAAGTCACAGTTGACCCTGAGAGCCTGTTGACCTGATTTGTCCTCCCACCCACTCTCCCCCTGTTACTGACATGCCACCCCTCCACCAAACTCCCCCCCCCCCCACCTTTCATAGGCTGCCTGTTTCGAACTTCATAACCAGAATAGCAGCCGCTGTTTGGATAACCACACCGCCATCCTGGCCTTCCAGGAAGGGCTAGCCTGCTGAGGTAGAGAAGTTGGCTCAGGGCTCTGCGCTTCCTCCCTGGATATGTGACTGTGTATTTGTCATCAGCCCCGTTTGATCTTGTCCTGTTCTGCCTGTGTGGCGTGGAGGCAAACCTTCTGCTTTTCTTCTCTGAAGACTGAAACTGCCTGGCTGTGGGCAGCACAGGGGCTGCGGTGGGCAGCGCAGGGGCAGCGGTGGCCGGCGTCTTCCCTGCCTCTGCGGGGTGTCCCAGCCTTGGACTCACTCAGGGGAGACAGAGCGGCTCTCCCCGTAATCAGTAATCCAAGGAGCCACCTGGAAACATGAGTGACTTCAAACCAGGCAGCTTCTTAACTTTTTGAATTGATTATTTCATCAACCTTCAGGCAAGGGCTGAAGTCACCGTCTGCGGGGCGGGGGGAGCGGGGGGGGGGGGGACAGGGCAGGCTCTTTCACTTTCCTTGACTTCCCAAGGATGATGCGCACACTACTCGGCGTGGTTCCCTTCCTTTCCTGTTGTTGTTTTTTCTCTGAGCCGTAACCCTAACCCTGCTTTATGTCAGTTTAGGTGAGATCACAATTTTAATTTTCTTTTTTTAAGATGGGCGATAAGTGAGCAAACCGTCTTCAGTGTGGGAGATCCCCTCTCTCAACATTTGCCAGGCAGTAGCACCCTGTGCCTGGACACATTGCCCTAAAACCACCACCACTGCATGAGGAATGGCCGGCGGGTTTGCCGTCTCCTCTAGGGGGAGCCGGAGAGGCCGGGAGGAGACTGTCAGGAACCGCTGCGTTGTGTGGGAGAATGCAGGAGAGGAGGAAGGCTGGGGCGAATGACCATAGATATTTATTTTGTTGGTGGGGTATGTGTGTGTGTGTGGTTCTCTTAGCAGGAGGCTGAGGACCCTTCCCACTTGTTCCTGGATGGACTGGAAGCAGCCAAAGATGCAAGTGGCGCCCTGGTGGACCGGGTGGATGGTGGACACTGCTTGCTTGATGGAATGTTGGAGGATGAGACCCGGCCGGGGGGATACCATTGTAGTCAATGTGACCGAGTCCTGATGTCCATGCAGGGGCTGCGTTCTCATGAGAGGAGCCACCTGGCCCTGGCCATGTTCACCCGCGAGGACAAGTACAGCTGCCAGTATTGCTCCTTTGTTTCCGCTTTCAGGCACAAGTAAGTGCTTAAGGCGTGGCCGGTCGCGTGTACCTGGGAGGAGGTGGCCTAGCGGAGGGCAGCTACGTGAGGGCGGGAGAAGCTTGGAGGAGTCAGCAGTTGCCCCTCGTGGTTCACACCTGCTGTCCAGTTGGCAGTTACTTTGAACTTTATCTGTCAAATGGGGCTAAGAATACGAGTTTGCTTGGTTGACAGAAGATTTGCAGGCTTTTTAAAAAAAAATGACAGTTTTGTAGGTATGGCTCTGATGTACACAAAGAAAGATCTGAGAGTCGATAAGTTTACTGGTACCTAATCATCATTTGAGAACTAAGTTCCATTTGGGAAATGGAGTGACTGGAAGGTAAAATTAGGACTGTTAACCCATGTGACCAAAGGCTCATTGCTTGATTTTTTTTTAAATATTTTTTTTATTCATTTCAGAGAGGAAGGGAGAGGGAAAGAGAGATAGAAACGTCAATGATGAGAGAGAGTCATTGAAGGGCTGCCTCCTGCATCTCCTCCACTGGGGATGGAGCCTGCAACCCGGGTATGTGCCCGGATCTCCTGGTTCATAGGTCATTGCTCAACCACTGAGCCATGCCGACTGGGCATCATTACTTGATGTGTTGTGTTTTTTTTATAAATATATTTTATTAATTTTTTACAGAGAGGAAGGGAGAAGGATAGAGAGTTAGAAACATCGATGAGAGAGAAACATCGATCAGCTGCCTCCTGCACACCCCCCACTGGGGATGTGCCCACAACCAAGGTACATGCCCTTGACCGGAATTGAACCTGGGACCCTTGAGTCCGCAGGCTGACGCTCTGTCCACTGAGCCAAACCGGTTAGGGCTGCTTGATGTTTTTTTAGAAGACCTTGAAAGGTAGATAAGTTGATGGAATCCAGAGAGATGTTTGAAGTTCAGGGTGGTTGAAGAGGGGGAGCTTCCCGTTGCTCATCACGGCTTAGAAATTGTAAATTTGGAGTTTTTATGAAGGCTTTTCTGGGTGATGAGAAGAGGGATGGTTCTGAGACGAAACAACATTTTGTTGCCTTTCTCTGTTGACTGTGCGCCAGAGAGAAATGTTCTGTAATGTGTTCTGCGGTCTTGGATGAAGGTGACTAATTGTAAGACTATGACATGCTGTTTATTTTTATGATAATTGGAAATAACTGATGGGCTGTTTGCTTCTTTAAACAGACAAAGTGCTAGTTAGTGGAGGTGGAAAGGCGGGAGGAGGCAGTGCTTCTGCAGAGTTTGGGATGCCTAAAACTGTTATTTTTTTTAAAAATATACTTTATTGATTTTTTTACAGAGAGGAAGGGAGAGAGACAGAGAGTTAGAAACATCGATGAGAGAGAAACATCGATCAGCTGCCTCCTGCACACCCCCCACTGGGGATGTGCCCGCAACCAAGGTACATGCCCTTGACCGGAATCGAACTTGGGACCCTTCAGTCCGCAGGCTGACGCTCTATCCACTGAGCCAAACCGGTCATGGCTAAAACTATTATTATTCTATTATTATTATTATTATTCAAAGTTGAATATCTAATCTTTGCCATCGGATCCAGGCACTGGCATCAAATTTGTGTAGTTCTCATCAATTCCAAAACTATTTTGTTGTTGTTGTTGTTGTTAATCCTCACCCGAGGATATTTTTCCATTGATTTTTATAGAGAGAGTGGAAGGGAGGGGGAGAGACAGAGAGAAACATCGATGTGAGAGAGACATTTATAGGTTGCCTCCTGCACGCGCACCCTGACCAGGGCTTGGGATTGAGCCTGCAACCAAGGTAGGTGCCCTTGACCGAAATCAAACCCGGGACCCTTCAGTCCATGGGCTGACACTCTATCCACTGAGCCGAACCGGCGAGGGTCCAAAGTACTTTATAACAGCACCCATCACATAGCAGAACCTCAGGACATCGCTGTGAATAAGTGGGTGTCCTGGAGGCTTCTGGGCATGTGAAGATGAATGGGCCGTGGTCAGTGTTCTACAGGAGTTTAGGGTCTAGCTGGATGATAAATAAAGCCAGCACACCAGTGACTTGCCATAAGAAGGCACACGTCTTTAAAAAATGTGTGTCAATAAAACGCTATGAAGTTTCAAAGAGGGGAGATGTGAACATCGCTCTGGAAGAATCAGGAAGGTTTTATGGAGTCGGGAGCACTTGAAGTAGGAAGATAAGACTTGAGAGGTTTGGAAAGGATGTGTCATGTGGGGTAGTGACACAAATTAGGACTTTTCCCACACCTGGTTTGGTGGATTTATTTTTTTTCTTTAGACTAGTAATTATGTAATACTGGGAATGCCCATAATTAAATGACATCCTTGTAAGTTGCTCTGGAAGATGGATGTATAGCAAACATTGTTGTGTTTATCAGAGGGGTGACCAGCCTCTGAATCACATGACTTCCCGTAATCACTCCTGCCTATTTACAAAGGCTTTGGGAACAAACTGCTCATTGCAAGTAGTTCAACACTTTGAAACCCTTCCCTGCTCAAGTGTTATCTCCTCCTTCCTTTAGCTTCCCTTCCTTTTAGAGTAGGTGCCACTCTTGCCTTTTTTTTCTTTTCTTCTTTTTTTGTAAGCACCATCTTTGGAAAGTAGCAAAATGACTTTGAACAGCTTAGAAATGGGATTTCTGGAAGAGGGCAATGAGAAAATGTTACGCGCAGTTTTTAACCCCGTCTTTTTGTTTGTTCGTTTTTCTCCTACATCAAGTTTGGATCGCCATATGCAAACCCACCACGGACACCATAAACCATTCCGATGCAAACTCTGCTCCTTCAAGTCCTCCTACAACAGTCGGCTAAAAACACACCTACTCAAAGCTCATGCTGGTGAGTTGACATTGGTGGTGCCCAAGTCTGCTGAGTTTGAAATCCTGTGGTCTTCACTGAGTAAAACTTTAAAAGTCTCTTGTCCCACACATGAGAATAAGTTATTCTTGAGATGGTTGCACATTTAGTTATTTTTTAGTCGAATAAAAAAAATCTAAGGAATCGCCCAAAGCCAAAATAATACCCAGCGGGTGTCACCCACGTCACAGTTGATGCATGCTAACAGCGTTTGTTGGCGAAGAGAAAGTTCTAAATTCCAGAGCCTTTCTAATGGAAATGCAAGAATTGTTACATCCACTAAAGATAGCCCCCAAATAAAGTAATGTTGTAGTCTTGAGGAAGTTCAGAGGAACTTAAGAGAACTCGAGACAAGTAGTGAGATTCTTGGGAGATGCCTTAGATACAGTTTCAGATACAAGATAAGAAGTGGCTTAGTATCATGCGTGTCCCGGGGCTACGCGGGTCTCTGTCACTGTATCGGTCCCTCTCACTGTGCTTGCTTCATTGAACACCCTTTACCTACAGGGCTCTTTACTAAACATGTTACATTCATCATCGTTTTTAATCCTCATGGCAGTCCTAAAGGGCAGATTGTCACCCTCAGTTTCGGATGACCTGCTCAAAGCCATGTGGTCCATTCACTGAGAACTTGACTCCAGAACAAGCACATCCCTGTCACTGATGGGATGCTGCCTCTCTCTCTTCTGCTCTTCTCTACTTTGCATATGATAGGGGATGCCCACAGGTAGATAATCGGAACTCAGCCCCCAGAGAAAAGAGGCGTGAGGTAGGAAAGGCAGTGGGTGTGTGGGTGGGGGGCCTGGGGATGTCTCCATGACCTTCTCAGTCACTCTCAGAACCCCAACGCAGCAGCAGCCTGCGTGTGACCCTCTCAGAGCTTTTGACAACCTCAGAGGAACTCACATCAAACCCAAAGAGAAATTGGGGAAATGAGGCCTCAGGATACCCAGCTACACTATCAGATTCTTTCCGAAGTCCAGTCTCCTCCCTGAGTTTCCTGGGCTGAGGTATTTAGATCCTAGTTTGAAAATTTGCAGACAGCTAGAATTCTTCTTGTTTTTTGGCTCCCCTTGTGTGGTTATAAAACCCACCAAGACCCCGAGTCCTGCCTTCCTTTTGCCATCTCCTCATTGCCTGTGGAAATACACCCTTGTCTCTCTGCTGTCTCCTCCTGAGTGTTGGGTCCCGTTGAACTGGCTCAATGCAGTAAAGCTACTGAAGGCTTCCAGATGCCCTGGGCCCCACGGGAGGCAGAGGGTTGGGGGTGCGGGGGTGGGGCCTGGGACAGGGAGATTAGCCAAATGGGCTTGTCTCTATCTGTTAGTATTTTTATATCTCCAGGAAAATTCCACTGAAGTTCATGGAGTGAGAGGCTCCGGGGTTCAAGCCATTCTTTTCTAACTGTACATTGTAAATGATTCAGCTGGGACCCCGTCCTGGTGTGTTTCCCATAGGCCTCCGCCTGGTCAGAAGCACTTTCGCAGTGGGAGTTGGGTAAAGGGATCGGCCTGTAGGAAGGGCTTTGAAGGGGTGCCAGAGGCTGCACACTGGCTCCAGGGCACTGAGCGGAAGTGTATGTTCTTGGAGCTGGCGAGCAGACTGGCCTTCTGTGCTCACTGGTTGGGGAGAAGGAAGCATCCAGAGGGGGAGAGAGTGGGAGCGGTGTAATTCAGCTCTCTGTGCACCTGGGAGCCCTGGTGTCCACAAATGGCCCTTAGCCACTGACAGTGGCCCGGCTAAGGGAGGGCCAGTACATTTTGCAAAGGACTGTTGACTCATCTTGTCTGTTGTAGATGGATTATTTTAAAGGATAAAGAGTCGTGTAGGTGAACCAAGTAACCTGGATTTGAATTCTCTCTCCAGTTGGACTATTTACAACCACTAAACAAAGTTCATCAACCAAAGAACTTGTATGCATATATGCATAACCCATGGACACAGACAATAGGGTGGTGAAGGCCTGGGGCAGGGATGGAGGCAGGCTAGAAGAGGTCAGTGCGGTGGGGAAAAGGGGGACATATGTAATGCTCTCAACAATAAAGATTTTTTTTAAAATATATATTTTATTGATTTTTTATAGAGAGGAAGTGAGAGGGATAGAGAGTTAGAAACATTGATGAGAGAGAAACATCCATCAGCTGCTTCCTGCACATTCCCTATGGGGGATGTGCCCTCAACCAAGGTACATGCCCTTGACCGGAATCGAACCTGGGACCCTTGAGTCCGCAGGCTGACGCTCTATCCACTGAGCCAAACTGGTTAGGGCAAAGATTTTTTTTTAAAAAAAAGTTGAAAAATGGAATCAGGAGAGCAGCAGTATTATGTATAACATAATATAATTATTGTATTGTAATAATGCAATAATTAATAAATAATACAAGAATAAACTCCAAGATTTTGAGTACTCACAACTATAAACCTACTTTTGCCCCACCTTATATGTGTAATATATGCAGATAATGTGTATATATTATATATATGTATGTGTGTATATACATATATGTGTGT